CATCTAAGCTTGAAATGGTACTTTACTCATAAACAAGGGTTCCTTCATGACCCTATTAAGAAATTTATGAACTTAGGTCTTAAAAGAGGTTCAGATCTGAAGTTTCAACTTTAGATCAAGCTCCCATACCATAATCCCTTCATAAATAGCTAAAGAAAGCCCTAAACTTCACATAAGAAAAATTCTAGAAGAAATGAGGTCAAGGTAATAGCTTGTTACCTCCAAAACGTGCCCAAGGTGAAGTAGACTCTGGATCAACACTAAATCCTTGATGCTAGCCTCTTGATCTACAAGTTTGGTTCATAAAAATCACTTCCCAAAGCTCTAAAACACTCTCCAAGCTCACACTCATGGACATTAGGGTTTCTGGCTCTCAAGGGTTGATAGAGGACAGCGGGAGCCGCTAATGGTCCAATATATAAGGTGAAAAACCCTGAAATTTAGGGTTTCCTATGCCAGCTCCTACTCATCGAGTCCCTAACCCGACTCACCGAGTCACTCATTAAATGACACGTCCTGTCCTGCTACTACTCGACGAGAGACAATATCAACTCGTCGAGTTGACCTTAAAACATGAAATTTAAATGGAATAATAATAATACCTGATAGTTGGTATGTTACACTTTACTATCTTATAAAAGAAGTCTCACTATTTCTAAAAATAGATTGAATATAATAATAATATTTTTTGAAGACGTGCAAATTATTTAGCTAATTGTATAAGTAATCACCAATAAAATAATATTATAATTTTCAATTGTTTAAACCATTTATTAAGTATACATTCAATCGTGATATCACGGTAAATATCTGACCCTCCCTACAATCCCTCCTCTAAGTTAGTCTCTCTCTCTCTCTCTCTCTCTCTCTCTCTCTCTCTCTCTCTCTCTCTCTCTCTCTCTCTCTCTCTCTCTCCCCCCCCTCCCTCTCTCCCCAAATAGCATATCACCATTACCCAATACCAAGTCATCTTACTTCCCACTCCAAGCATCGATATCATTCTTCTTATTCATTTCTCATTCAAAAAACCTTAAGCATCACTGTAGTTTCTTTTCATCGGGCGTCAATACCGCATATCGATCCACTAATCATCCCACATCTATCTGTAAGATTAATAACCAACAACATTGCTTCTCCCTCTCCATCTCGTGCTAAAAAAAATATCCTTAAATGCCCCTATCTTTCTTTCTCTTTCGACATCCCCTCACTATTCTCTCTTAAAAATCATGCCAAAGGTAAGCTAGAAATGAAATTTTTACATCATATAACTCATTTGTATCATTCCCCTCGACTAGAACCACCCTCGCCACCATCCAACGTTACCCCTCTGTTGATGGCTCCTACCACCACATGAAAACCCTAAATTGGTCACCATCGTCTCATATAATCAAGCCCTTCGTAACCTAAAACCTGAATATATATATGATCGAAACTTAATTTTTAAGATGATGGGTCACAATGAGGCCAAGTTGATTTCCGTCCCGGTATGTTTCACATTCCCTAATCTGGTTTTAGTGAAAAGAGTCTTGATGACTATGTAATCATTGATCAATTTGAAGTTTAAATCATTTCATTGATGCCGAAACATACCTTTATGTGTATTCAGTATGCTTAAATCTATGTCAGATCTACACCATTGATCATTAGAACTATAACAGTATGCTCTTTCTTCACTAGCTTCCCCTTTCGGTTTCAGTATCTCATCACCACTACCATCCCTCCACATCCACCATCGTGGAACCTTCCTGACAACAGTCACTAGCATTAGCCACCATCGATCATAAAATCAATGATTTCATCAAACCGTTTCGGCAGAAACCATTATCGCAAATGGTATACGATATTAAAAGTTTTGTTTAAAAGTTCATAATTTATTCTGGTGGTTTGTCTTAACAACTGCTTTTTATTGTATGTAGTTTGTTTGTGTAGACCTAAATACCCGAGAAAAAGAAAAGAAAAAAGTGAAAGAGGTCTTTCTTGGTCCTTTTTCAGATCTGATATTCCTCTTTCATTCCATTTTGAAAATGGCTTATTGTTGTTGTTCTGATCTGTGTCGTGCTTCTATCGAATCATATATAGATCTACTCTTTGATAGGTTGTTTTTATTAGTTTTTTTTTGTATGTTCTACTATACGAATCCAAAATCAACGCATCGGTTTATTCTTCTTTTATATGTATGTGGTCCTCAGGAGGTGAGAAATTATTCTAACTTTATTTTTCTACAAACTAATATCATATTTTTTTAAGTTCTTTGCATTGTTCTACTTTTATTTCCTAATTAATAGGGATTATGGCATCTTCTGGTCTTTAATACCTCTATCATACTAATTGGTAGCTCAAAATATGTTGTGGTGGTAGGGCTTTTATTTATTGTTGCTTTGGATTTTGCACAAATCTGATGCTATCATGATATATAAGGGAGTTTATTATCTCTATTTTTTGTTTGAATTCTCTTAAATCTCTAAAATGTATACATGTGCCGCCATGGTTAGATTTATTTTTCAGTATGTGATGAACAAAGACTGTTGAGGCAATAAAAGTTGACACTGATGTTGCATGTCTGTAAGTCATGTTTGGAGGATGCCTTTGGTAGTAGAGTTAAGTACATTGCCTTTTCTGGTTACTGGGATAAAGTTCAATGCACTTCAGTAGGTTTAGGAAGATCTTTGGCTGGTTTGTACATCTTTGCTTATTGATCATTTAACTGGTCTGTTACATCTATAAGTGCTCAAAGTGGTCCAGTGGGTTGCTTCATAATTGGTTGTGGTTTCATACTTCTTTGGGAGATGTATGTCTCTTATAACCTCTTGTTTATCCGTTTTGTGTGAGGTACATGAGAATCACATCTGTAATAAGTAATTTTGTGCAGATACTGTTGTAAAGTATCATTGATTGGATGTGTGCTAACTTATGCTTTGAAATCAGTTGCAAGAGGACTTTCTGTATAAAAACATGAAGTTATTTTGGATAAACTATCAAAAATAATGGAATTTCTTGATTTGTGGAGCTTTGTGGTTTGGTTACACCTAAATCTCCTATACATTCATTTTACTAAGATTAGTGTCATGCTTTCTTATTTCCATGTTCAGTAATTATAGTATTTGATTTTTGTAATGTTTGATTGTATAGGTTAGTAGGAAGTGGGAATGACAAAGTTGAAAATCTACACTTGGTAATCTTTTATACCTCCAATCAATGCTTGGATGGAGTCCATTGGCAAAAGCTGTTGAACCATTGTATAATATGGTGAAGGTACAATAGTGTTTAGAGATCCTTGGAGTTTATTGGGTTGGATTCCGAGTATAATCTGAAATGAGCAAAATTGTGAAATGGAATTAAAGTTCATCTCCTTACTTAGTAGAAGGATATTCAGACTCTTATTTGAGTATTTTAGTGTTATAGTCTATTCACTTGACATAGAAAATAAGGAGTGTGAATGTGGAAGGTTGATTACAAGAAATAGAGACTTAATTGTTTGATGACTTAGGTGAAATATTGGATTTGGGTTGGATTCCAAGTATAATCTAAAATGAGCAAAATTGTGAAATGGAATTAAAGTTCATCTACTTACTTAGTAGAAGGATATTCAGACTCTTATTTGAGTATTTTAGTGTTATAGTCTATTCACTTGACATAGAAAATAAGGAGTGTAAATGTGGAAGGTTGATTACAAGAAATAGAGACTTAATTGCTTGATGAGTTAGGTGAAATATTGGATTTGGGATAACGCCTAAAGGGGTTGTCTCATGTTAAGTTTTTCAACTATATGTATAAGACAATGAAATGATTCGTCTTAATTGTGCTTAAGTACAAGAATGCGTGGTGTAATTTTGTTGCCTCGACTATAATGACTTGTTAATTCTATTTCTTCCTACTAATGTGATTCTAACTTTAATTTATTATAATTTCGTTATCATTTTGCAATTTCATAATCAAAATCATGTCGTCAATTCCTTCTTTGACACTTGTTTGTGTGGTAGAATCAAAACTACCAAATTAATTTGATGGATAAATGTATTCAAAACTACCAAATTATAAAATAAAAATAATAAAGCTTTAAAAAAACACATCTGGGAGATGAGAGTTATGATGATTGAACATGAACTAGAATTGTTGATTGGTTTTACCGGTTGCAGGCATCGAGAGTAAATATTTAAAGTAAAATATGCAAGTGTAAGTTATTAATTTATAATGTAATCGTGTGTAATATTATAAAAACAGATCTATATAAAAATAAAATTTACGTAATAGTACAAAATTAAAATAACTAGATTATGTGTTTATGAGTTTTATGGTTCGATCTTATAGCCGCAAGAAAACTATTCACCGAAGTTAATTAAACACTGCTTGAAATTTATTCGCCATCGCCGCTTTGCGCAGATAAACGACTATATATGTATATATATATATATATATATATATATATATATATATATATATATAGAGAGAGAGAGAGAGAGAGAGATGTTCAATTATTTAAAGTAATTATTGTGTAATTGTATGCATAAATGTGGGCCCATCAAAATTAAAAAATTAAATAAATAAATAAGGTAAATTTAGTAATATGATTAATAACTTCCAAAAATAATCCCTATAATCATGGTATTGACTTTTAACCTAATTTCTCCAAGTTTAGATCTAACTGACTTTTTCTAACCCAAAATTTATCCCCTTCATAAATCGGCCTCACACCCTTAATTTTTTTACAGTTGATCTTGAAACTGATACGTGTTATTCATCCTCTTCAAATGAATGCCATGTTTTCTCTTCAATAACCCTTATCCTTCCCCAAATCAGTCAGTCCCATCTCTCCAACTACAAAACCCATAGTCCTCTTATCCCACCCATCAGCATAATCCTCGTCTCGGCGGAAAAAAGTTCTCCTTCTTCTCCGTCTAGCTGCTCCACCATCTCCTGCACCAAATCCTCCTGTTGAACGGCGATTTTATTAACCCTTTTGGAGGTTTTGGGGGATTCAAGCTAAATTTCATTTTGAATGAATGGCACATGAATTGGAATTTGGGAGCAGATTACAGAAGAGGAAAGATGGGTTGAAACCTATATCGATAGCATATGAAAGTATGAAGGAGTACAAAGATGAAAGACTAAGGGAATTGAAACAAGTTGTGTTGAATAATCCTCAATTTTTGGTGGAAAAGAACGAAGGTGATGACACCGAAGATGAAATTGACGAGGGCGAAGGTAGCAGGGGCATTAAAGTGGCCCCCGGGAACCCTAAAATGGCTTTATATGATCCTGAAGCTGCCAAAGATCGAGAAGGTAATTTTGTAACATTCCCACTAAAACTGGCTCAAATAGTACTCTTTTCACTTCTATAAAGTTGAATTCTTACATATAATTCCATGAGTTGAAGACGAATTTGTGTTATTATAATCCCGTTTTTTATTTGTTTTTCTAATTGCTTCACATACATATTTAGTTGATCCATTCCTTTTATATTAGGGCATAACACCCAATTGCAAGAAAGCTTTATAGCATGCTACTGCTAAAGCTTAGCTTCTCTTCATTCTACTGATGTTGATGCTATTGGTCTTGAATATTATGGTAGACGAAACAACTACTGTAAACAACATGTGTCTTGAATTTTTATTTCTTTTTATTCAAATATACCAAGAGATTATGATTTTTTGTAAATAATGTATATACCAAGTAGAAAGGTGGGCAAACCAGTACATTGCTTCTATTGGTTGGTTGCGTGAGAATATTCGTTTTGAAGATTCTTCTGGGAACACAATAGGTTTTGTCCATGGTGATTTACGGATTGATAATCTTGTTTTCCATCCTATTGATAATCTTGGTTTCCATCCAGTTGAGGTGTGTTTTCCATTCTGTAAGATCATTATTAAAAATGCTCACTTTTGTTGGTCAAGTTATATATAATCTTTCCCAAATTATTAATTTATAATTTAATACTTGGGAAAACCATGGTCTCTTATTGGACGGAAGTTTAATATTGCATTTTCATTTTTCTGTGGTGCATCAATCTTGGCACGAGTCCACAATAGTGAAGGTAGTTTGTCACTATTTTCATATCAAATTTACTTCTTCTTATATGATAAAAATCAATTTGTTTATGTAGATGATTCAATGGATGATATTGGTGAGATTCCAATTCTATTGGAATAGAATCACGAATTCCAATTCTTTTGGAATGGAATCACGAATTTCAATTCGGTTGGAATCATTTAAGTTGATGCTTGAACAACGGACCACAAAAATTGAAAGTGATTCGGAGCAACATTAGTCTTTTAGATTGTATTAGTGTAGTTAGATTTTGATGTTTTTTTTTCCCGTTTTGACAGTTTTTTTTTTTAGTTTTATTCTTTTGCAATAAATGTAATTCTTAACAATTGTAACCCGTTATTCTAGAATAATAATGCATTTTTTTATTCTTCAAATGATTCCAATTCTATTGGAATAGAATCACGAATTCCAATTCTTTTCGAATGGAATCACGAATTCCAATTCTTTTCGAATGGAATCACGAATTTCAATTCTTTTGGAATGAAATCACGAATTTCAATTCTGTTGGAATCATTTAAGTTGATGCTTGAACAACGAACCACAAAAATTGAAAGTGATTCGAAGCAACATTAGTCTTTTTAGATTGTATTAGTGTCGTTAGATTTTGATGTTTTTTTTCCCGTTTTGACAGTTTTTTTTTAGTTTTATTCTTTTGCAATAAATGTAATTTTTAACAATTGTAACCCGTTATTCTAGAATAATAATGCATTTTTTTTATTCTTCAAATGATTGTTGAAGAATTTGTTATTCTACAAAATGTTTTTTAAGTCATGATCAAGAAATAGGTTCAAGAATATTTTTATTATTTATGGTTGAAGAATATTTTTATTTTTGAATATACTCCTAAACATATTCTCTCAGAATGTCCGAATTAAAAAACTTATAATTCGTAAAACCGGAATTTTAAAATTAATAGAATCTATGACCCCTTAAAAAATGCAATTTTCTTTTATTAAATCTATATTAATTGACTAAATTACCCTTGTAATTATTTAAAATGTTATTTTTCAATTACATTTAATTTAGTAATATATATTAATTATTTTTAAAATAAGTAAATTTGATTGGCCCACATTTATACATACAATAAGACAATAATTACTTTGAATAAAATAACCTAAGCCTATATATATATATATATATATATATATATATATAAGATCTTCAATATTAGCATCAAAGTCCGTTACGAATATATTTTCCGATTCGGTAAGAGGAGTGAAGAAAATCCTGAGTCATGAAGAACTATCATGACTTGTGTGAGACTGAGTGGAAAATCCAAAATCCAAAACCAAATTTGGAAAAAAAAATTAAAAATGCAAAACCTAACCTAAATCGATGAACAAAACTTTCCAGATGATGAAATTAAAACCTAAATCACAAAAAGCTTGGGGTAGATCAAGATGATATGCAAAGAATGAAATCGATGGAAGATGATTTTCTAGATGAAATCGATGAAGTGTGGAGGCCGATTCTTTGAACATTGCAGATGATTTTGCTAGAAACCACGACCGACATCATCAGAAACCACCTACACCGGAAACCACCAAAAGCAGTATACACACATTCAGGATAAATCATCGATTCAATAAATATGTTATATAAGCCAATGGAAATTAAACATCTACAAAATAAGATGAAAAACCACTGTCATATATATTAAAAGACCCACTTGTCTTCGATTTTAGTATGAAATTAGTGTATCAATCTACAAAAAAGTTACAAACTTGGAGCAATGAAATAAAATCGAGAGAGCACTCTTTGTTCATCCTCTTCCAAAATTAAACACCACTACACCAAACTAAGAAGATGAAGACACGCTCACGTTGGTCTGAATGATAGAGAACAAACTGTGGTGGAAAAAAAAGGTAGGGTTTTTTAATAGTATTGGTATGAATCATTCTGGAGGAGAAGGGATGAAAAGAGATTACGTGAAGAGATTTGACTGTGGATGATTATTTCTAATGGACAATTGTTTTCTTAGAAAATACAGAGAATACTGATATGTGGTTCTAAAGTCGGAGCATTGGTGGTGATCATCGGATCTGAAGGGGAACAAGGAATGGCCGGAGTAGATGAATTCTATTAGGTGGTTTGATTTTTCCCTCGATCTAGTTAAGATCAGCGATGAACATGGATGAGTTAGAATAGATAAGGTCTCCGATGAAACCTATGAATGAATTTCGTGTTTCTCGGTTTTTAGAAACTCACCTCCATGGTGAAACCTACGGCGAGACCTTCATCCGCTCTAAAGATGGATGCTACTATTTTCGTTTTTCCATTTCTTACATCTTCCTTCGTATGAAATTACTCATGACCATTATATTCCTCCTACAACTTCTAGGTTTTCACAAACTGATGTATAGCTCAGAAGATACCACCATCGACATAATCTTCAAACCTCTATTTCAAGTTCATGTAATGTAGTTTTATAACCTTTATCGTGAAGTAAACCATTGATTCTTGTTTATTATTGAACTTTTTGACAATGTGAGTTCATGAAGCAATAAACACCAATTAACCTATGTAGTAGAAGAGAGAAAATATGATTTGATTAGGCAATGATGCTTAGGGAATGGATAAAAACTATCCGGTTAGGGTTTGCAATTCAAATTTCTATGTCTCTTTTAAAAATTATACCTCTAAAATATTTAAAAAGCTAACATATATATTTCGCTTGTATAATTTGGGAACAATTGTTAGGGGCAAGATCCTTGAATGATATTCAGGCTCCTTAAATATTTCTGAAACCTCAGGATTCTTAAACATATCCCAGGATCCTGAGTATTGCCACTAATATTTCCTAACACTTGTATCGACTATATTCTTCTTTATCTTTCCCACATGCACAAAACTAGTCAACATAACACTCATTCTCAATGGAAAGTCATTTCAACATAAAACTAGTCAACATAACACCCATTCTCAATGGAAAGTTATTTCAACAAAGCTTATACTCAGGCATACTAAGTCAAACTATGTACAAATACTTATTTAATGAGGATCCTGGTAATCTCGGACCACTTGTGAATTAACTTAGACTAGAAATAACACTGGTAAATAACACACTACACAGACAGTTAGCTCTACCATTACACTTGTACTCATATTGCCTTCATCATCTTTGTAATTTTAGTTTGAATTAATAAAACATATCAATGCATGTGATCATTGTCCATTGCCAAGGTTTTATGCCGGACACCACAACCTATCATACAATAAAAGGTGTTTTGGACCAAAACACCAATATATAAATTTATTCATTTATTGTCATTAATGATTTTATTTTAAAAAACTAAATGATGATAATTTTTATAGTTTCAGTGGCATAATAAAATAAAAGGTACCACTAAATGTATTATACATTATATCGTTTGTTATATTTAATTTAGTTTTTTAAAATAAAAAATCTGACTAAACTAATTGTACCAATTCTATAATCCGAATCGTTCCCAAAAAAATATTCTACCTTCCTCTTTTGTTGTTAGCGAGAAAGAAAAATTATGCCAAAAAATTAGAAACCCCGCTTGCTCTTTTCGAAATTTTATCGTTTCACAAGGTCTTATGTCTTTTGTTCGCTAATATTAGTAAGTTCATAGCTCTTTTGTTCACTAAAATTCTAGAATGATATTTGAGTAAATCATAGTAAATGAGTGTAATTTTTGGTGTTGATTCTGAGGAGAGGGTGAGCACAACATTTAGAATTTTAAATTTTGCTCAAGGTAAATCAAGTTTTGTGTTTCTTCACCAACAAGTATGTATTTTGATACGGATATGACCTTACTTAACTATATATTTTAGGATATTATCCTAATATATTTGAGTAAAAATGTTACATTATAAGATATATGATACGTACTATGCAGTTGAAATGTTCAATTACAATTAAAAATGGTAGATTGGATAGAAAATGAGGAGAACGCAGCTGAAAAAATAGAAAAATAAATGATGTTGATTAGATTGACTCTCATAAGTATTTTAGCCATATCTAACGACTCGAAACTATGACTGAGGACGGTCAAAAGCTTCTAAAAACTAAACAAAATTTCAAAAGACTTTCATATTCGTACCAAATTTAGATTCCAATTCGTGTGTCGTAGAAAAGCCATTCCTACGACGTGGTAGATTAAAAAAATCACAAAATAAAAACGTGTGTCGGTCTATGAAGTCGTGTAGGTTAAGAATTGTAGTTTTCACAATGTGGCAAGCCTTTTTCATGTTGTTGAGATGTATAAATGTATAAATAAAGCTAGAAATTAACCCTATATATATATATATATATATATATATATATATATATATATATATATATATATATATTTCATTCGATTACGACATAGGTGACAGGAAAACTCAAAGCTACCATTTCGAGGGTGTAGAAGGTGGCCAGAGGGCTGTGAAGCTAATATGGAGCAAAGATCTGAAGGGTTCGAGAGCTCATTCATGACATGAATAATTCAATTTGATTTTCTGACCATGATTAACACTCCATGTGGTTCTATATGTGATTTATTTCTAATATAGGGCTTCAAAACCCTATTACTTTGTATTAGGCTAGATGAATCATTGAGATTCTGGATTAATTTGCTATTTGTATTATTTATTCAGATTTAATTTATTATTTGTTAATGTTTCACACCTTCTATTTATCATTGAGTATTGTTAGGTTTAGATGAAAAATTATCATTGTGCTTGAATTATATGGTTTTATGAATTATAAATTTCTACGACTAGGGTTAAATAGAAAAATCTTTAATTTTAATGTGTAAGAATATATGTGATAACCATTCATGTATAGTAGCTTCTTGGTCTTTGATACTAATAATTCATGTCTCTCTTAACACAAACTGGAAAATAATTTTTAGGTTAGTTAGTTCAATTGATCATTACAATTAACAGTTTCACAAATCAAAGGATTACTTGTCTAAACCCGGAAACTAGTCAATTTAGGAATCGATGAATAACGAATAAATATCCATCGCACTTGGTACCTGACTAATATTTTCTGGTGAAATCCAATCTAAACCAAAGTACCTGAAGTGATACATTTCAACTGAGTTTATCTAGACTATGATGATATTAGAAGATGAAGTTACCCACCCCCGGATGTTTCCGCTGTCTGGTTCGCGGGTGTATCATTAATCATGGATCAATGGAGTGTTTGTGGTTAACCGACACATTGATTGGGTGATTTGTAACATTAAGAGTACCAAGCTAATT